TGCTGAAGTTGGTACAATTCTTGAGGAACTGCTGTTTATTTGGAAACCCCATTCCCACCAGAGTCCCCCACGGAAGGCAGTAACGAAACACTGACAGGTAAATGTGGCCAGACTGTCTGTCCCATTGGTGCTTTCCTAGGGGATCACTCTCAAGAAGCGGTTTAATGCTCTCTGCTAGTGAAAGCTGAGGTGCTTATAGTAGATTATTGGGTTCAGAGGAAACACCTTTGCATTGTCATAATTATGCTGCAAGGTTATTTGAACACTGACATGAATTAAATCATAATAGGATGAAATGCAAAAGTGAACAGGTTGTGTGTGTTAGGAGCACAGGGACCTGGGCATTCTGAGGGCAGTAGCCAATCACAGTACACGGATTTGCATAAAGTATGCCTTTCCATTACAAATGCCATCTAAAATTATAATTATCACTGTTACCTCTGCTGTATTGCCACTGGAGCAGTGACATTTCATTTTGACATGTTCAACTGAAATGAAGAACTTCACTGATCTTGAACCAAATTTTTCTTTTTACTTTCTTAAACTCACCTATCTAGTTCTGTAGTCAGTTAAAAAACCATAGGATTTCTTTTTGGGTCACATTGACTTGAAATGACATATATGACTTTGGTTTTTCCTTTGCTTGCAATGGCAATTTCGTTTTGATTTTCTGAACTGTATTTTGTGTTAAAAATGACTCCAAGGGAAAATTCCTGAATAGGTCTAACTATAAGGAATAACTTATTAGACAGTGTTTTTCTTTTTTTTCCTGTTAACAGAACTGTCTTCAAACACTGATCTTATTAAATATATTTGTTGTTTGAAATTGTTCAGCACAGTTTTAGTAAATTCCTTGTATTTTAGGACTTCCTATTTGAGTTGTGCTTAGTTGTGATTGACCCTACCTGCGCAATATTTTTAATTGTCTAAAATGAAAGCTTTATGCCCGTCCTAATTAGTCGTTCAGTGCGAATTTTTGAAAAAAACAAATTAAAAATTCACATTCCACAAGTATACAACTGAATTGAACACACGTTTCTGGAACGTAAGTAAAAACAATATAAACACGGCTAAACCAATCGCAGTAAGTGACATTGCAAAATTTGCTCTTCCCCACTCCCTTTTAAAAATGCATTTACAAGCAAAAGTAATACAGGCTGTCCTCCTTAAGTGTCACTTGTATTAATTTCTAAGCCAATGAATACATTTGACTGCACAAATGACGTTGATTGTATTTGCAGGCTACATACGTTTACATGAAAGCTGCCTATCTCAGCATGTTTGGACCAGATGACTGCAAGCCTTTTGGGGAGGATGAAGTTCAACTGTTTAGGTAAAGTTTAGAAGGTCCCAACTGGGACAATGTTCCATTCCTTATCTTTTCAAGTCATGTTTAGCTGATGGTGTTGGGGAAGGAGAGGAAAAGTTATTTACTTTGCAGTTAATAAGATATAGATGTGTGAAAATATGATCAGAATTTGCTAGAAAGGTCAGATTTCTCCAGTGGCAGGCCCCCCACAAAATGTGTCTGTGAAAGAAAATGCAGTGCTGTTGGACATGCTTGCAATAATTCCAACTGACCGTACTTTGGACAGTTCTCTATGGTCTCTACTATGTTTCAGCTTCCCATAGGCTTTGAAATACTTTGCGTTAAGATAATTTTCTGGTCTCTGTCACGGTGGCGGCTGCTATTACACACAACACTTCATATGCTTTTTTTCAGTTGTTCTCTGTAGTCCACCTTGGCCTGGAAAAAAAAATTAGTTTCCTGAAAGCCGTGACTGGTTTATACTACAAGATGTGTGCCTCCTATTAAAGATTCTTACAGACAGCTTCAGTAGAATTTGATTGTGGGGCTTTGAATTTAGCACAAGTATGAAGGGCTTACGAAGATAGAAACTAGGGTGAATAAACGTGTTCCTGGAACTGTAATTTGATTCCGGTCACAAAATGCCTAACTGCTGCTATTTCAAAGTAACCAGCCAGTGTCAGTGAAATTCTTCCATAATGCAGTCACATTTTAAGTTATCTCATTCTGGAGAAGATGATATTTATCACTTACTGTATTAAAAGCCTGTATTGTGGTATGAACAAACATGAATGAATCCCCGCAGATTTCCTGTTGCTCACACTGATTTATACACTGAAATGCCCTGAAACTGTTGACAGCATCTGTATTCTGTGAGAAGTCATTGCAAGCAGGTTCCACTGGGTTTGGCAAAGGCGATTTTTTTTCTTTCAG